TCCCTTCAAAATTTGCATTTTTGAAATTTGTAACCAAAATATCATTATTTCTGATCTCCATTTGCAGCAAAACATTGAACTTAATAGAGCAATGATCACTTGCACCAAGATGTTCCTCAATTTTCACCCTCTCAGCCATTTCTATATTAGAAGTTAATAAATCTACACCCCTACCCCCATCTACATAAGCAGTATTCATATGAATATACTCTAATCCTTTTATGGTTTAAACTTTTTACTAATGCATATAAAACATTTATTATTACGCTTATAGGTTTTAGGCCAAATGAAGGCACTTCTTTTTCATAAATAAACAAGACTTGACTACTTGTGAAGGTACAGGTTAAGAGTGGTTGCTGTCACTTTCTATGTCTGATAGGAAAATGGTGGTACTGTTGTCATGAATTCTTGAGGAGTACTGAGCGTAAGGCTGACATTATGCAATCATGTGAAAATCTTTTATTAAGTGGGTGATTTGTTTTCATATTGAAATGCTCCAAGTAGAACCTGACTTATGAACAAGGTTTACCTGCTAGTCTATACACGAGTACTTCATAGAGGAAAGAAGTAGATATATTAGTAGACCTACAATGGTGGCTTATAGGTTACATTGAATCATTCAGATAAAATTGCTTTTCACTTTTATGGGTTATGATTTCACATTCTGGGAAAATATTTGTCATAGTTGTTAGATTTTGAGGCATCTATGAAATCAAGTAGGATTAGCATGTGTGGTTCAAAGTAAACTTTGGCTAACTAGTGATTCTGTTATTTAAGTTTTGACCTTTAACAGTCGTAATGTTCCTGAAACATGATTTTACTATGCCGTTCCCTTGACCTTAAGTCATGTTGTATGGTGCTCAGTCTATCCTTTTTATTTGTTATATTTTATGAGTGTATTTATGTTCTTGTTTCTGCTGGAATTTATTCTATTCACTGTAATTGATTTAAAATGTATAATTTTAATTTTTCCTTAAAGTAGCATAATTTTGTTATTACTGAGTTATACATTATGATATTACACACACACACACATTAAAAATGTTTCCTTAATTTCTTAATATACCCATTTTGTTAAAACCACAAAGAACAAGGCCTATAGCTGTAGAAAAGAACCTTTAAGCAATTTATTAACATCAATGTATAAAAATAATTACACTTTACCATAAACATATGTAATCAAAATTCAAAATTTTACATGGTGTTTTTACAACAGTATAAGGTAGATGTGAATGTATTCCATTATTGTTAGTAACTTTCAATATTTCCTAAGGAAATATTGATCCCAAGCATGCATCAAATGTGGTGAAAGAGGAAGGAAAAAGAGCAGATGAAACACTTGCAAACTTGGCCTGCACAGAGTTTTGATAAGAATGTTAATAAGGTTATATGAACTCATATGGGAAGTGATACAGGTCATTTGCAACAATATTTCACAGCCAGAGGTTGATAAAATTGTGGTGGCTAAAAATAAGGTATACTGTTGTCTTTAAAGAAAATACAGTGCATTGTAAAACTCCTTGGTCATCTTAGCTTTTTTTTCCTTTTTTTTATGTATTCTGAAGTGCATATGCAAAAAAAATATTTACATTTTTGGGGAATTGCATTTCAATACTTAACTACCCTTTATTTGCCTGAATGGAATTTTGCCAGAATAAACACTTTTCATCATGTAAACATGACAGTATAAAACTCCATGACCTTTTGCTTTGATTCTGACAGCTGTCAAAGTAAGGTTGCCCTAAATCTTATATTGGTCGGGATTTATGCTTTGTCATATATCCTACAATAAATTATGCCAATAATTCTCCTGTTTTGTTAGTTTTTAGTTGATACATGTGTAATTTTTAGTAATTACTTGTTACTTAACTTTAGTTCAGATTTGAATAAAGATAATTACTGAGTGCCATGTAAATTCTTGAAACTGAATTACAAAATAAATAACAATGTATCATCTTGAATTTTTATTTTCTGCATATTTAATCAAAAATCAAATTAAAAAACAAAAGTTAAGGAATAAAAAGGCAAGAGTTAAACAGTTTCAAACAATAACACAATGAAAAATATTCTCAATGCTATTATGTGCTTTAAAGAGCAATTAGACTGTGTGTCTCAATAAAGATGTTAAGCATATTTTAAAATCAAAACTTGCACCTCTCTGCAATAGTGAAGATTTCAATCTCAATGTCAATAGTTGAAATGTTTGACATCTGACCTTTCTCTTGAAAGAATAATCAAGTTTTTGCTGTGTTCTAGAATTATATGGCTTCTTCACTAACTATGAATGTGATTGTGAAACATTTGATGAATATTTTGAAAAAACTGAAATTCTAAAATGAAAGGAATTATTTTTAATATTTTTTCTGAACAGCATCTCAACAATTTTTTGGGCATTTCACAGCATATGAAATAATATAAAACTAAACCAAGTTATATGAATTTCTTTATAAGCTGAAACTAAAAACCTTTTTGCTATTTAGTAAATTGGTCTAAGTTTCACACAATTAGGTTAAGTATTTTTAATATCAGAAGGAAAATATCAGTGACACTCTCCTGATTTGAAAAGGGTTAAGAGACTCATCATACTTTATTATTTTCAATTTTTATGTATCTTATGAAAGGAGAATGAGTTTTTCTTTCCCCAGTTGTTTTATTTTGCATGAATATGACCACCAACAGTCTGACAACATGTTCACTGTTCTTACATATTTTCTAATAAAATACATTGTACTAATGATAAATTCACCATTTAATTGAAGTACTAATTGTTTGAGACTGCTGTATATGTCATGCCTGTGTGTTTCCATAATTATTTCCACTACTGTATGTATACACGCAGTTACATATGTGTGTAGCTTAGCCTTCAACTTGTGTGCAAGTTGTGATATTTTTTTTTTCTGTAACTTGTAAACTTTGTGTTCTTATAGGTCAGAGATAGGTAATATGAAAGTGAAAAACACTAGGTGGGAGTTGTCAAACTCACTGTGTATGCTTCTTTCTTTTGGTGACTATCCTTCTAAATAAACACACCTTCTTTCTCTAGAATCACCTCAAAATATATTTCTAACCTATCTCTAAAATTGTGTATTATAACATAATGTTGAGGATGAACTACAGCAGTAGAAGTACATAATTTCCTAAACCAGTACTATTTTCCTAATGGTTTAAAAGAGTGGTAAGATTCTAATTTGTATCTAAACTCTTCTGCTTTCATGTTTATAGATGAAAATTCTTACAGTGCCAGGTTTACTTTTTTTGACAGACAGTAAGAAGAGTAGGGTAGATATATAAGTCAATGGCCATAATAAGGGAAATATTTCTGGAACATACAGTTTTCCATGTTTTCCTTAAATCCATAAAATACTTAATAGTTTGCATCATTTTAAGACATTAGATATAAATGTGGCATTATACATTACATTTTCAGTGAAACGTGTCTAGTTTGCAACCATGAGATGCACTGTTTACATACTGTGCATTTGTAAGTTACCAAATCATTTTCATTTCAGATTTAATATGCAGGTAAAAATTTTACATTGAGCACAGTGTTTATGAAATCTCACATGAATACTGATAACAGTATAAAAGTGGGATTTTGTATGTCAAATACACTTCATGAATTTACATTTCTGAAAGTCATTATTATATACATTGTTTATATAACTTAATAAAAATGTATCAGGTTTCTGTCTATTAACATTTCTAGCAAAATTCTTCCCTTGTTTTAACTTATTTAATCCTTAGATAATTTTTTATAACAACTGTTGTTATACGTGATGTACTAGGTATATTCTTATACTAGTATGTTTTAAAGGGTTAGGTAAGTTCTGATACTAGTATGTTTTAAAGGGTTAGGTATTTTTGCATATCTGGTCGTTTGTTAATTTCTGGTATAAATTCTATCCAAGAAACTTCAGCGATACACGTCCTTTCTTAATTAAAACTTAGTTTATTCTTTCTCGATACAACTTTTCAGTACACAGAATTTCCACAGTCACTTTAAACTTAACTACATTTATAAATACACGCTA